CTCTAAATAAGATGGCAACTTTCTAAAAGAGTAATTGTATTTCCTCCATGGTATTTTAGGGGAAGAACAACCTGTTGACGTTTTAAGGTGGAAAGAAAAAAGTGACAGACTAGAACTAGAAAGCCAGCAGCAAGGCATTGTGGGTACTTGCCCCCAAAAGTTCTCCTTATGCATTAATCCACACACACCTGATAGTCCATTGACTCCAATTTGAGATTTATTTTAACTCATGTCTCCAGACAGAGAATGCTGATACACTAACAGTCCCTACGTTCCTAGTGAGCAATGTGTAAAACTACAGGCTAGATTTTCAGGTGGCTTTCACCTAGCCCTTAACTGTGTGGGTGGGGATTTTGCATGAGCACCTATTTGCATTATCCTCCATGTGTGTGTCTAACTGCTGGATTTGCATGCACCATAATTGTGCATGCATACAGTATAGACAAAGAAAGGCCACATTGCAAAAAACTGGCCATAAATATTATTTTACCCTGGTGTACATCATTGATTTTAAACTGTAGCACACTTTTGTGCCACTTTTTTGCCTTGCCTTCAAAACAAACTCAGATGCAAAAGTCTTTGAAATTCCTCTCCTTACAAAGATCAGCTAAACTCTGGTGACATGTAGTTATTCTAAGGGGAACTGAGGGAGATCATCTGGGTATACTGATAATAATCAGTCATCAATTCATTGGGAGAGATATCAGTTCCACCACAGTAATCCTTTGGACTCCAGAACTGTGTTATGTGGTTCATTAGACAATAGCATCTCTTGCTATTGGTTGGGTCAAGAGTCAAAACTGCAGCATAATTGCAAGTCTCCAAGCACAAGGCAATAGTTTTTCAGTCCTGGAGGGTGTTGTCCAAAGGGGAAAGAAAACAGAAGGGAAAGATTAAGTATGAGCAATTGAGCCCTACTGAGAGGGCAGAAAAGTCACTGGAATTGGGATTAGCCAAAATCTTGTAATGAAAAACAAAAGCCCTGTTGGTAGGCTGGTATATATACCTAAGAGGTGTGAAGAGGCGGGGAGGGGGGAGGGGAGAGGCTGGAGGGCAGGGGAGGGGAAAAGGAGCTAAGAGGGAGGGAGGAAATAAACTATAAAAGGGGATTAAGTAATAAATGAAGGCAAAAATGATGTTTTTACATTGTAAAGATTTTATGGTCGATAGATGCTCAGTATTATTTTTAGTTAATTGGAAATACCAATTTGATTAATTTGGGATCGGGTTCATTCTAAGTATTTTAATTGAAATTATACTAAATAACAAACCTTAACAAAGAAACCCTATAGAACTAAATGGCTCAGCTATTACTATTACTAATCAAAGCCTTTATTTCTTTTGTTTGCCACGACCTACTATACTTTATGGCTTTGCACAAACCTAACACACCATTTCAAATAAATAAATGGAGATATCCTATCTCCTAGAACTGGAAGGGACCTTGAAAGGTCATCAAGTCCAGCCCCCTGCCTTCACTAGCAAGACCAAGTACTGATTTTGTCCTAGATCCCTAAGTGGCCCCCTCAAGGATTGAACTCACAACCCTGGTTTTAGCAGGCCAATGCTCAACCCACTGAGCTATCCCTCCCTCTTCAGATAGCTCATCCTCTTAAAATGATAATGTGTTAATCTAGGCTGGAGTTTTTTGGCAGGAACCAAAGAGCTCAAGCAACTTGAAATAACATCAGCAAAACATTATTTATTCCCCAGCCCTAGTTGCAGAGAAAACAGAGGTTTTCTTGGCTCCTTTACTTCTCAATAGATTTCTGGTTTCAATTAAAATTTTGGGTCTGAGAAGTTTAAAAAAAAAGTCAAAGGAAAGAGAGGCTGGAAGAGAAATCTCCAATCCCTGGGTGTTTTTTTTCTCTTTACATAACCATTCCAATCAGAGCAGAGATTAAAGTACAACTACATTGTTTGCAGAACTTGTTTTTAACCATCTTTCTCACTCTACTGCCACATAGCTACTGATTGGGGGCATTAACAGAACTGGGGGCTAAGGTAACAGAATGTGATTACACAGAAGGAGATCCACTTGTATATTTGTTTCCATTTAAATAAAAACTTTCCTCTCTCTTCTATAAGGTCACAGACACTCATGTCCCTAGATTTGTAGCATCATTGCCTAATGCTAGAAGGACAATTGCACCATTACTGTTGACTGCAGCAAGTTAGTCTTCTGTCTGCAGGGGCTGTTTAATCAATTGTTACCATTTGGGTCCATAATATTAAACACAGGATTGGATTTGCCCGCAATTCTTTACCCCTGAAATCCTCGTGTCAATATGAAAGGAATCAAACGACTTCCCCTGACAGCAGAGGACTAGCAGGACCAACATTTTACTTGCCTAGAACATACTTTTAATTTGACAGATGTACATATAAGGCAACACACTGCCTACCCGGTGGCATATCGCAGCCTGGATAGACTACTGCAGAATCGCTGCTACCCAAGCTGACCCAGTCTACTGGCTTGTTTACTCCTAACCGGTAATGAAACACCTTCATTTTCAGTATTCAAAAGAGAAATATTGTTTCCCCTTGTATGTCCCCCTAGTACATTTGTTTGCCACCTACTCCTCCCAGTGTTCAGCTCAGATTACAGTATTACCACTAACGGCAACAACTGTGCCTCTGATACCCGCAAAACCTTACAGACCAGAGGGAGAGGTGCATTAACTAGAAGCAACACACAACGGAATCGATTTTTAGGCGAACTTTTCCAGCGCTCAAATCTAGCCCTTGCGCCGGGCTGCGTGTCACAGCCTCATCGCCTTCCTCCACCCCCCTGCGAGCACTCAGACTTGGGAGCGAGCCGCCAGGTCAGCAGCTATCTTAAGACACATATAAAAACACGCGCAGGCACAGACGCAATAGATCCTCGAGGCATCAGGGCAGAGAGATAAACGTGTCTGGGCGATCGTGCCCAGCACTGTCACAGCCGCCACCAGAGAAATTGACCTGGAGCCTTTTCAAGGCAGCATCTGAATTCTCTCTTCCTGCAAGCACATCTCCCGCCCTGCCATATCACACACACACACACACACACACACACACACACACCCCATTCACCCCCTTTTTACACCCCCTCAGCATCAATTAGATGTGAACTGAAGACAAGGGCTGCCCCCTCGCCCCTGCTTCAGAGACGCGATTTTCAGCAAAGTGGATCAAACCTTCCCGCCCAGCTGGGGAAGGGAAGTTTGGGGCTGGGTGGGTGGGTTCCGTCACGGGGCCAGATCAAATGTCTGCAGCTCAAAGTCCCCGATACAGGGGGTGGGGGAGGCTGTCTGAGGGAACTGAAACTGACAAGCGGTGTCAGTTCCCTTTGCAGGGTCCTTTTCAGGGCGATCATTGCCACGAGCACCTACCCCCCCCCACAAATCCAGTCTGACTTTCGATGCACATGGCCAGGATCCCACGTTTGGCCGCTGAGGACTTTAGAGGGGGGGCTGCTGGGGGCAGCGGGGGCGCAACTGCTTGTGTCGAGAAGCTGCTCCTTCGGTAAAGAGTTTCTTACGGCAGATTGCCCTTTTAGCATTAGACGTCAACCATGAGATTATCAGTGCAGTTTATTTGAAGCGGAAACGAATCGGAAATCCTTCTCTCAACTGCCTTTTTAGACATAAATACACACACACACAGAGAGACGCTTGCGGACAACACAACAGGCTGTCCCGCCGTGGCCTGTTTATTCCGTGTGTGTCATGCTACGCACACACATGTCCACGTACATCACACACATACACACACACACACAGGATCATCACAACGTGAGGGGGCATCAGCCCAGCTTCAGGCTCAATAAGTCTTATCTCCCACTGCCAGGCAAGGAAACGTGTCCACGACCTCCAGTTCAAACCAGGGGGCTGCTTGGGGAGGGGTGAATTTCACCATGCCTTGGTTTGACAATAGCTGCTCTAACCTGCCGACTGATTTTACAAGCCAGCGTCCTTTCCTGCCCCACCATCATCTGGCTTTTTACATGTCCCAGCCCCTAGAAGCTTTAACTCCAGTTATGCCCTGGTTTTGTTTCAGGGAGGTGGCGAGGAATAATCAGGGGTGTATTATTAACAACGCGGTTTACTTCTGAAACAAACAGGAGGTGTGTGTGTGGGGGGGGGGGGAAATCCTGCGTTGTTAATTACCCACCCCCGGGCTTCCTGCACACACAAACACGGGTGACCAGACAGCAAATGTTGAAAAATCGGGACAGGGGGTGGGGGGCAATAGGAGCCTATATAAGAAAAAGACCCCCAAATCAGGACTGCCCCTATCAATACGGGACATCTGGTCACCCCAATTCACACACACACTTGTTTGTTACTGGAAATTGCCGCTTTTATGGAGTGCGTGTCCTTTTCAATGTCAAAATAAACCCAGATCCATTCAATGGGCTGGTGTGAAGGGAACACGAACACACAAGGGCTTTAAGTCCTTACGAGAACTGTATTGGATTTAAACACACCCACCCACCCCATCCCGTCTATAGCTGTTACAAAAATCAGATACATTAAGAAAGGGGAGTGGGGGGGGGGATCCCCAGCAAGGTTACAATGTTGCTCTCTAGCTCCACTTAACCGGCAATTTACAAAGGGGAGGGGGGAATCTGCCAACTCCCCCGCCACACACACTCCTGCCACCTACCCCACACCACCATCAGAAAGGCTCAGACAGACCAGGGAAGGGAGATGGGCGTGCAGGGGAAGGGGGGAATGAAATACATGATACAAACTCCTCCAAAATGCACCCACCCCGGGAGCCCGAGCCGGCCGAAAGGGGGGCCCCGGAGGCGGGGGGGGGGGAAGAGGAAATCACATACACCCGGAATATAAATGCACAAAAATAAAGACCTTCCCGCCCCCCTGCAAAGGGAGCCGGGGGGGGGGGGGGGGAAAGGCAGGCGACCGACATTAACTTTCGCATGCAGCCCAAAGAAAACAAACCCGCCCGTGCAATCCGGAGCGAGATTTCCACGGCGGCGCGTGTTTACTAACCCATAGCCCCCCAAAACCGGAGCGGGGCTTCTCGGCTTCGTCCCTCGGATCCCCCCACTGGGTCTCTTCTCTTTTTTAGATCCCGGTTCCGATCCCTCGCCGGAGCCCCCAAAGGTGTTCTCGCTTGTGCTGCGGCAAAGCCATGGCGGTGCTCATCTGTCAGATAAGGGGAGCACACGCAGAGGAGCCGGAGGGGGGGGGGGGGGAGGGGGGCGGGGGGGGGGGGGGGGGGGGGGTTGGGTGAGAGAGGGGGAATGCACGGAGATAGAGAGAGAGATGACAGAGAGATAAATAGAGAGGGACAGATCGAGCAGGGGGGAAAATGGCGTCTGGCAAGCCGGAGTCAATCACATTCACAGTCCCGGCTCATTTTAGCAGGATCCGAAATAAAAATGAAAAGGAGAAAGGGGGAGGGGAGGGGGGGAGAGAAAGACAAGAGGAGGGGGGAGGAGGAAAAGGAGAGGAGAGGAGGGGAGGGGGGGGAGAATCAATGCACCGGATAAAATCCTGGCTCTGGAATGGATGGAGCTGCTCCCGCGCTCGTCCTGGCTTTTTAAAGGGATGCTGCTCGGTGGGGAGAGACGAAGCGGCTCCTGGTGGCGGTCGTCCCCCCCCCCCCCCCCCCCCCCTTTCCCCCGCGCGCGCAGGGGGGGGATTGCTGGAGAGTGGGGAAAGGTTTTGCTGATCACGGCAGTTTAATCAGGGCTGAAGCGCTCTTGCCTCTGAGATTGCCGCTGCGGCTGGCGGCTGGCTCCATGGCTCCCCCTACGCTCCCCGGGTGCCTTCAGCCGCTCTAGTCCCGGAGTAGAGTAAGGGGGAAAGGGAGCGGGGGGGGAGATCAAGATTATTTTTAATGGGGGGGGGGTCACTGCTCCTGCTGCCCGGCCGGATCGCTCCCGGAGAGGCAGGCTGAGGCTCCACGCCGGGGCTAGGGGCTGGGGGCTGCCTCTTGCGCCCTGGTGGGCTGCATTGTTGTTGTTGTTGTTTCCTTAAAGGAGGTAGGGGCGGTGATGCGTTGTGTAAGCCGATCGCTGAGCTGATGGCGTCCTCTCTCCGTGCCGGGGCTGGTTTTCTCTCTCCCGGAGACTGGCAGCAGCAGTAGTAGGTTTTTCTGGTGGTGGTGGTTTTGTTTTAAAGGAAGGATCAAACACACACACACACACACACACAAGAGCTGTAATGCTCAGCGCTGGGTTAATGTACTCAACACTGCCACTACCTGACACAACAGCAGCAGTGTTGGGGGCAGGGGAGAAAAGCCAGAGAAAAGAAATGGGGGGGGGGGAGAGAAAATCAGATTGGTTCTGTCTACCCCACTACCACACAGACAGAGCGATTTCACATTTCAGCCCCCGAGGTTTATTTTAAATAATGGCATGCGTGTACCATGCTCCTGTGATCTATGATTGCTTATACACTGCTTTCTGGTGAGGAGGGGATTGTTACAGTCTTGAGGGCCCAGGCCTTTCACACAGGCGTCAATTGTTACTCGCCTGAGTAATCCTATTGAAAACAATAAGGATGAGTGAGGACTAAACAGGTGAGTAAAGGTTGGCAGGGTGGCACCTTTACTCAGAAATGTGCATGTCCATGGAATTTCATATGCAACCGGGGTGGGGGGAGGGGGGGAGTTAGCCTAAAATATCTTAGGTTCCTCCACAATAGGGTTTTCTTATTTTATGGAATTGTATGGGCTACCCCATCCTGCCACTTGTATTAAGAGCTAGGCTATAGCCCACCTGCAAAGGACCAGGGTGTATAAAGATAGCAATGATACAAGGAACTTCTCCCCTTTAAACCAGCATGCAGGTGCCAGCCACAAGGACAACCCCTACAGTCACCTGAGTGCCAGGACTACCTGAGGCTAGCTACCTGAAATGGGGTGATCCATCCCCATCGGACACAAGGGTGTGTGCATGCTATACACCTCCTTCAGAGTGTAGCAGCTCGGGGGGTTCCCTAGAAGTCCCTCCTTCTGAGAGCTCCAGCTGGATGGTGAGGTTCTACTTGTCCTGTAAGGCACTGTAGAAGGATTCGGCCGGGTTAATCCCTCTCCGGGGCAGCGGGAAACCAGACCGCCTCACTACACCCTCTCCCCCGCTTAAGTCTGTCTCCTGCTCGTTAGGGCCAGACTCTTCCATACCTCCCAGGCGGGACAGGAAGTCAGCATTAGCATGGTCCTTGCCTGCCCTATGGCGAACCGTAAAGGCATAGGGCTGTAGGGCCAGGTACCAACGCTGCATTCTCATATTATTATCCTTCATTCGGGCCAGCCACTGGAGGGTGATCAACGTGAATGGGACTCCAAGGACATAGTAACGCAAGGTGTCACAAGCCCACTTTACTGCAAGGGTCTCCTTCTCCACCACCACTTAGTTCTTCTCCCGGGGAAACAACTTCTGGCTAATGTATAAGACCGGGTGTTCTTCCCCATCCACTTCTTGGGACAGAATGGCCCCAAGTCCTACCTCTGAGGTGTCCGTCTGGAGGATGAACTCCCGGTCAAAATCGGGGCTATATAGGACCAGTTCACGGCAGAGACTTTCTTTGAGTGTCTGGAATGCGTTGTCGCACTCTCGGGTCCAAACTACCCACCGGGGACTGTCCTTGGTCAAAAGCCCGGTCAAGGGGGCTGCGATCAAAGCGAATTGGGGAATAAACCACTGATAGTAGCTGGCAAGTCCCAGGAACTGGTGCACCTGGCGCTTCATGGTGGGCGGTGGGCAGGTTGCGATGGCCTGAACCTTTCTCACGAGGGGCTTCACTTGTCCTTTCCCGATGGTATGCCCCAGATAGGTTGTCTCTTGCCAGCCAATGCGGCATTTCTTTGGATTGGCCGTTAACCTTGCTGCCCGCAGGGATCTCAGGACCACCGCTACCCGCTCTAGGTGGTCCTCCCAATGGCGGCTGTAAACAACCACATCATCAAGGTAGGCGGTCACGTAGTCTCGGTGGGGTTGAAGGAGGCGGTCCATCAGCCGTTGAAACGTTGCCGGGGCCCCATGGAGGCCAAAGGGCATCCGAGTAAACTGATACAGGCCTGTGGGGGTGGCAAAGGTGGTCTTGTCCTTGGAGGCAGGATCGAGGGGGATCTGCCAGTATCCCTTGCTCAGATCAAGGATGGTGATGAAGCGGGCCTCTCCTAACCGGCCCAGCAGTTCATCTACCTGGGGCATCGGATACGCATCGAACTTTGATATAGCATTGACGCATCGGAAGTCGATGCAGAACCGTTGCATGCCATCGGGCTTAGGTACCAGTACTACCGGGCTGCGCCATTCGCTCTGTGATGGTTCGATGACTCCCAGGTCCAGCATGGCCTGTACTACTTCTTCAACAACCTGCCACATGTGATGTGGCAAGGGCCTGGTCGCCCCCCGGATCACCACCCCAGGCTCCGTCTGAATAGTATGATGGACGAGGGTTGTGTATCCCGGTTGGGCTGTGAAAGTTCGCGGGAACGCCTGTAGAAGGCACTGGGTCTGCTTAAGTTGCTCCTCGGTCAGTGTCTCCCGGAGCTGGGGTCCTGCGGGGTCCTCCCTATGTGTTACGTGGGGGCTCAGCTCGGGCTCCGATGGGTAAGGGTTAATTAAGAGTCCCTCTCGCTCCCACCAGGGTTTGAGGAGGTTGACATGGTACCGTTGAGTTTTCTTGCGCCGGTCGGGCTGGTTGATCTCATACGTGACGGGCCCGATCTTTCGGACCACCTCATAAGGCCCTTGCCAGCGGGCCAGTAGCTTTGACTCACTTGGGGGCAGGAGGAGTAAAACCTGATCACCGGGTTGGAAGTCACGGGCCCGTGCATCCCGGTTGTAGGTCTAGGCCTGAGCTTTTGGGCGGCCTTCAAATTTTCCTGAGCCAGGGCCCAGGCCTGAGTGAGGTGTTCCTGGAGCTGGAGTACGTATTTCAAGAGGCCCTGGGTTAGCGACAGGGCTTGTTCCCATGTCTCCCGCATTAAGTCCAGAAGCCCCCGCGGGCAGCGACCATATAACAGCTCAAAGGGGGAAAACTTTGTAGAGGACTGGAGCACCTCCCGGATCGCCAGGAGCAGAGGTGGGAGTAGCTGGTCCCATTGGGGGAGGTCTTCTGGGGGGAACTTGCGTAACATGTCCTTTAGGGTCCAGTTAAACCGTTCGACAAACCGTCGGTTTGTGGATGGTAGACCGAGGTGCGCAATTGCTTGATCCCCAGGAGCTCACACACCTTTCACAATAGCCAGGACGTAAAGTTGGTGCTCTGGTCCGTGAGAATCTCCCGGGGCAGGCCTACGCGAGCGAAGACCTTCACGAGCTCCCCCGCAATGGTGCGGGCCATGATGCTCCGGAGGGGTACTGCCTCTGGGAAACAGGTAGCATAATCCACCATGACCAATACATACTGAAACCCGGCGATGCTTTTTGGGAGGGGGCCCACCAGGTCCATGGCCACACACTCAAATGGGGTTTCGACTAAGGGCATGGGGACAAACTGTCACTCTCTTTTTTCCCTTCTCTTCTTTTCCTACTTCTTTTCCTCCCACCTCTAACCAATACAAAACAAACAAGCAATCCAAAAAGGGTTGAGTTGGAAATATCAACATGAAAAAAAAATTGACATTTTATGTCTCATGAAACACAACTTGTTTTAACATTTCTTGGCAGAAAATTGAAATCTTTCATGGCATGGACATTTTCTCACTGATGTGGGTTTTGAGAATTTTTGGCAGGTAAACTTCCTGAGCAAAAAAATCCAACCAGCTCTATTAACCGTCATCACCCCTATTTTACAGATAGGAAAACTGAGACACAGAGAGCTGAAGTGACTTGTCCAACTTGGTTCAGTGAGTCAGCAGTAGAGCTGGTTGGGAATTTTCTGACGAAACACGAATGTGATCCTAGGGTGCTTCAGGCAAGGTTATTTCTAGTAAATATAGAGAAGCATTGATTTCAGACAAAGCTCCAGTGAGACCTCCTCTTCAAGGAGTATAACTATGTACAACTCTCGTGACCCATCTTCAAGAAAGATTAATTCAAACTAGAGCAGGTGCAGAGAAGGGCCACTAGGATGATCAGGGGAATGAGGGCCTAACTTACCCAAGGAAACTCAAAGAGCTTGGCTTGTTTCACGTACCAAAATGAAGGCTGAGGGGGGGTCAGATTTCTCTTTATAAATACATGGGGGAGGGGAGGACACCGG